AGTCCCTCTCACTCGACAATTGTTGGAAAAACAGGATAATAATTGTCTCTAATAAATCCAGTACCGATCCTTCGTTACTTCCAGGTAGTTAAGATCATCCATTGTATGATGAATAGCTAGTGCCTTTTCTATCTCTATAATCTCCTTCATCAAATGTCAAATCACTTTCGATTCATCTTTGTGTGTGTTTGTTTGGAAGGTTGAAGACATTGCTTGTGGTACAACAAGCCCATGCCAGTGACATAGTACTTCATAATCACATCGTTTTGAGTAAATGGGGGCCTATTGTAGTTTTTCGCCCCAAATTTGCATACCTTCAGGCTTTGTAGAATGCGCTTCGCCCTCAATATTGTGCCCTGGAAATTTGAGATCAGTGTGTATATTGATAGGCTTATTTTCCAAGGGACGCGGAACACCATACCACTTGTCATAAACCAAATCAGTATAGCAACCTAGCATATATTTTTCAAGGTAAGGATTGATTGTATTATGATGTGTTCCATGTGGATCTATTAAACTACCTTCACCCTTTTGCCTCTTCTTGAACCACTTATTAAATGTTAGTGGCATTTTTGAAATACATGTTGTAATGTTTCTTCAAATAGTCTTTGAATACAGGTCTCTTGTGTCAGCTTAAGAAGATGTCTTGTACCCTAAAGAATAAGTATCATGCGTAACATAGCGTGCCACCAATATACGTTATGTATATTGTCATGTCGACCTGAAAAAGTTGTCGACCTGGAAATGTTGTCTTGTACTCTAAAGAATCATTATCACACGTAACATAGCGTCACCAATATGCGTTATGTGTATTGTCATGTCCACTTGAAAAAGCTGCCTACCTAAAAAAGTTGTCTTGTACCCTAAGGAACCAGTATCACGCGTAACATAGCGTGCCACCAATATGTGTTATGTGTACCTGGAAAAGCTATCGACCTGGAAAAGCTGTCTTGTACTCTAAATAATCAATGTCATGCGTAACATAGCGCGCCACCAATATGCATTATGTGTATTGTCTTGTCAACCTGAAAAAGTTGTCGACCTGAAAAAGCTGTCTTGCACCCTAAAGAATCATTATCACGTGAAACATAGCGTGCCACCAATATGCGTTATGTGTATTTTCTTGTCGACTTGAAAAGGTTGTCATTCAGGAAACGTTGTCTTGTACCCTAAAGAATCAATATCACGCGAAATATAAAAACCTCTTAGCTACCTATAAAAACCTAAAATCACTCTTAGCTGCCTATAAAAACCTCGCGCATTTTAGTTATTAATTGCGCTTAACGAAACGTATAGAACAACTTTCCATTAATTTTTCATTTTTCTTGCATTACGAAATATTTGGATGCAATGACGTACCAAGGTGTTACTGTGGCAAACGTGTGATTTTGAAGCCATGTTGGTCAAATTGCAATCTAGGGCGCAGACGCTGGAACTGTCAACAACTTATAAGTTATTATTTTTGGAAAAAATATTTGTTAATATTTTTTATATAACATGTTAATTAATAGTGGTTTTCTATAATCCCCATTGGTAGGACAAAAATCAATGTGGATTTGAAGAATGGTATGATGAACCCATTAACCAGGAATACTACAAATCATGTTTGCTAAACATTTGGAATCTGATCGGTGAGTACGAACTCCAGATCTTTAAACTACCAGAACAACTAGCGGCAGTGAAGGAGAAATTAAAAGAGGCAGAAGAAGAAAAAAATAAGTTGGAAGAGAAATTTAAGTGGTTGAAGCACAGAATAATGGGCGATAGTGACTAAACAAACACATGGATGTGTTGAGTGTAGTATTTTATTTTTATGTTGTACGTGTAATGTATTATCTTTAATTGTACCGAAGTTACGTTTATGTTAATCTATCATTTTTTTGTTCAAATATTAAACTAATAAATAACCCGAGAAATAAAAACACATGCGCAAATTATGTAAAACATAAATAATGTTGCATAAGCATATTTAAAGCAGCCTGGTATTATTATCAGTAAAACATATATACAGAAAATAATAAATGTCAATGTGTCCCACAACCTGTATGCTTTAAAGCATTGGCTGGACTGAGGCGCATCCCATCTCTCCCGGCTATGCTATCAGGATCATCCTCATCACGTCGCCTCTTATCGGAGGATGCGCTGCAACATGATCGTCGGTAAGGCTGGCAGACTCGGTAGAAGCGGACGTTGGGCCAGCACTAACCTACAAAATAATAAGATATTTTAGTATAAGAAATATAAATTACTAACGTACGTATTAGCCAAAAATATTTTAATGGTCATATCGTGGTCTCGGCGGGCTCCTGAATAAAATCATTCGCCTCTGGCATGTCAATATCGCACAAAGTGGCCTTCGTGATGGGCGATGATGATGTCTTTAAAAAAACAATACGCTTTAGATATTGTTGACTAATCAATGAGATAAAAACAAATAGAAATAATAGTAATACAAACAAACCTGCGCCTGTTAACTATCCTCAGCATCCCTCGATGATGAGCCATAACTCAGTCGTCGCCCACTATGCATCTCTCGTGTCGGACGATCATCAGCAACCGTCGATGGCTCTGGTGGATTAGGAAAATACTGATCCCACTCTTATCGCATAATGGTCGTGCCCTCGATCAACAATGCAGCTGACGGGGTCACCTGTGCATTCCTTGAGGATAGCTGAAGGCTGAATGACGGCATATCATGAGGAGCATCGTGTGGCTTAGGGTCTTCACCCGGCTGATCACCTCTAATATCCTCCATAGGTTCCTCAACGCCCCCTTGCTGGGGACCCCGTTCTCGCCGACCACCACGACATCATGGGACACCGCTTCCTCTCTGGCCACGCTTGCAACGTCTACCACGTTCAGGCTCCACTGGTGGCCTATGATTGTACTCCTCTAGCAGCACATAAGCAGCCTCGTATCCTAATTTCTCATCATCTCGGGCACATCTCAATGTCTCGGTAGCCATTTCAGTAACCCGCCGGCCAAACACGTGCAAAGCTGCCGCTCCCTTGCCGGTATGCTATAGCATTTGCTGTCCCAACTGGTAGAACTGATGTAAGCCAACAGCCTGCATAATATGTAAAATATGAATCTATCTGTTGGACAATCCATGCTACTCCCCATCATCTACATCAATCATGCAAGCCATGGTGACAAACACTTCATTTGTGGAAGAGCAGTTGGCCAACTTGACGGAAGCAATCACTATCTTAACCAAGTGTATGCAAAATCAAGATGCTAGAATTGACAAGCTAACAGACAGGGTGAGAATCTTGATGGAAGAATAATCCACTCATGCACCTGGCAAACTCCCAGAAGTTCAAGAGATTGATCCTCCCCCACGACAAGTTGCATCCACTAAGGAAATTCCAGTCTCTTTGGAAGGGATGATTCCAATCAATCAACTAAAGGAGTTCATTGAAGGGACTATAAAAAACAAATATGAAGTTGCTTCCAAGTCCTCCTTTGCCTACGCAAAGTCGTACATATCAAGGATCGATATGTTGAAGATGCGTGCTGGGAAATCCAAAGCAACATGTGGCGCACTTCGTTGAGACATGCAATAATGCTGGGACCCATGGAGATAACCTCGTCAAGCAGTTTGTCCGCTCATTAAAAGGAAATACTTTTGACTAGTACACAAACCTCGAGGCTAGATTTATTTATTGATGGGATCAACTAGAGCAAGAGTTCCTCATTCATTTTTATAGTACGAGACACTATATGTGTATGATAGAACTTACAAATACTCATCAACGAAAGGGTGAACCAGTTTTCGACTGTATCAATCGTTGGAGGAATGCAAGCCTCAACTGCAAAGAGAGGCTTAGGCCTCATTTGTTTTTTTTAAGATTAAGATGTCTGAATATGAATACACATCTGAATATCAAGATGCGTATTAAGATTTAAGACATCTGAATCTAAATACACAGCTGAATATTAAGATGTGTATTAAGTTATAAATACTAAATGATTAAGACTGTTTGATTTTTAACATCTGAATGTATAAGATTTATCTTTATTTGAAAATTAATAAACATAAAATTCAAATAAAATGCTAATTAATCTAATATTCTATCAATAAAATATATACTTTTTAAAAATATGATAGTTGTTGGTAGTGATGGCTAATGGGTGAATGCCGACTAGAGGCGGTGATTGCTGGTAGTTCTGGTTGATGGTGGTGGTTCAAGGTAGTAGCTAGTGGTGATTATAATTGAGGATGGTGTTGGTTGGTGGTGATAGTTAATAATGGCGGGTGGCGATGGTAGTTGTGATTGAGGAAGGTGTTGGTGGGTGGTGGTAGGTTATAATAATGGGCAGTGTCGGCTGTTGTTGTTGATGGTGATAGGGTAGTTAGTTATGGTAGTTGAGGTGAATGAGTGTTGATTGTGGTTGAGAATGATGGTGGTGGCAGTGGTGGAGATGGTGGGTGGTGATAGTCGATAATGATGGCGGCTATGATTGATGATGATGGTGGTGGTGGTGGCGGCATAATGGTAGTTGATAATGGTAGGCGGTGGCGGTAGTTAATAATAAATATGGATGATAGCATCTTAATAAAATTAAGTCTTTATTGTAGATCTTAATCATACAGACCTATTCAGACCCATTAAGTGGTTGTGAAGTAAAAACAACAAACACACTTAATGATTAAGATCTGAATAATTAAGATCCGGGCTTTAAAAACAAACACACTTAACGTCTAAGATCTGAATGATTAAGATTCAGACCTCTATTAAGTGCAAACAAATGAGGCCTAGTGAAGCTTTTAGAATAGATATGTGCATCCAAAGCATGCATTGGGGACCGCGCTACATCTTGCAAGGTATCAAGCCTAGCACATTTGAAGAACTTGCGCTCGTGCCTATGACATGGAGTTAAGCATGGCCTCCGCTGGAAACGAAAGGCTGCCTATCTATGAGCCTCGCAAAGGGAACGACAAGCAAGAAGTTAGGAAATGGAGCAAGTTTGTACCCAAGTCTGAAAACAAAGAAGCTATGAATGTCAACGCATCACATGTGAAGTTCACAACGAAGGTGAGCAAGAAGTAGAGTATGAAATCCACTTCTTTTCAAGATGAGTTTTAAACCTTTAAATTTGCAAATCTCGTGCCAAAATATATTAAATGAATTCGGAATGACTTCAAATTTGGCACACAAGTCATAAATGACATAACAGAGCTGTTCAAATTTTTAGAATCGAATTTTGGCTCCGATATCAAAAAGTCAACCCCGTGGTCAAACTTTAAATATTTAGCGTTTAAATTGCTAGTTCCATTAAATGATCATAACTTGAGCTAGGGACCTCCAAATTAAATTCCGAGCATATGTCCAAGTCCCAAATCACGATACGGAGCTACCGGAACTGTCAAAACACTGATCCAGGTCCGTTTGCTAAAAATGTTGACCAAAGTCAACTCACTTAAATTTTAAAGCTCTATTTCCCATTTTAATACATTTTTCACATAAAAACTTTCCGGAAAATTGTACGGACTGCGCACTCAAGTCGAGGATTGATAAATGGTTCTTTTCAAGGTCTTAGAATACAGAATTTCTTATTAAATTTAAAGATAATATTTTGGGTCATCACACCTAAATATAGACTGTATTCCACGGTATTCAATATATTTCATTGTATATCACTATATGTCTTTGTATTTTATATCTACATATATGTTTGTATTTCATTGTATTTTATACATACATATTTGTTTGAATTCAATATAGATGATAATTCTGAAAGATAAATAAAAGTCTACCGTTGTATATTTAAATTGTTTTTTAATTATATATATCTATATTGTATTTAATACGTCTATTCTTTGATATATATATGACTTTTCTTAAAAATGTTCAAAACTTATAGGTCTATGTTTAAATGTAGGTTGTACCATCGACTGAATACTTGCATACGGTGAAGGATGAAGGAAGGCATTACACAGTTTGCCTCTTAGAGAGAAAGTGCAGTTGTGGGCAGTTCCAAGTTGACGAATTACCAAGCCCACATGCTTGGGATGTCTTGAAGAGAAAGTTTCTAATGCCAGAAGATTATTGCTCGGACTATTACAAACCAAAGTCTGTTGTAATGACATACGAGGTGCCCGTTTATCCGCTGCCTGACCGAAATGAAGGGAATATACCAGCACATATATCAGAAGCAGTTGTCTTACCACCCAAATGGAAAAGACCTCCTGGAAGGCCAAAGAAGAAGTGCGATAAGCTGTTCAGTGAATTGTTGCAGAAGAAAAATCAACATTCGTGTAGCATATGTGGGCAGGGAGGACATAATAAGCGTACTTGTAGAAATGCTCCACATAGGACTTAGTTCATATTCTGACTTATATTACTGCAACAACGATGTGTCATAGATTCCGATGACATTTTGAAATAATACATATTGATTAGTTGGTGTATTGGATTATTGCGTAAATACATACTGCTAAATATAATTTAGTAAACTGCTGAATACATACTGCATTTATATTTTGAATAAATATGAATACACACAGGTGCATTATATCTGAATACATAATTACAATCCGCTGAATACATATCAATACAAAATGCATTATACATATAATACAATCTGAATACATTTGAATAATTATGAATACAAAATGCAGTACACATTCTGTGATGACCCAAAAGGTCATCTTATATTTTAGAACTCGAATTTGCGCTCTTAAGCTTTAAAAATCTCATTTATACCCTCCTCGATTTGCGTGCACAGTCCGGGCATGCTTCTGGAAAGCTTTTATGTTGAAAATAAGAATTTATGCCTTAAAAGTTAATTTTAGTTGACGTCGGTCAATATTTTCGGTAAACGGGCTCGGATCTATATTTTGACGGTTTCTGTGGGTCCATATCAAACTATGGGACCTGGACGTATGCCCAGAATCGAATTCGGAGGTCCCTAGCTTGAGTTATGAATTTTTGAAAAAAAATTAAAATTTGAAAATTATTTATTTTTAAGAATTGATTGGTGTTTGGAATTTTTAGTACCGGGTTCGTATTTTGGTTCCGGAGCCCGGTACAGGTTCATTATGATATTTAAGACTTGTCTGTGAAATTTAGTGAGAAACGGAGTTGATTTGACATGATTCAAACGTCCAGTTGAGAAGATAAGAATTTTAAAGTGTTTTTGAGAATTTCATTTGATCTGGTGCTAAATTCGTAGTTCTAGGTGTTTATTTTGGCAATTTAATCGTGCGAGCATGTTCGTATGATGTTTTTAGACTTCTGTGCATGTTTGGTTTGGAGCTCTGAGGGCTCGGGTGAGTTTCGGATAGGCCATGAGATGTTTTAGACTTTAGAAAATCTGGTTTTCTGCAGATTCTAGTGTCTGGCATATCCTTCTTCGCATTTGCGAAGAATTAGACGCGAACGCGAAGCGATGTGGGCATTACCCTTCACGAACGTGACAAGCCCATCGCGAACGTGTAGTGTTAGGCACTGGGGGAGTCAGCCTTTTCTTCATCGCGAACGCGAGCAATGTCTCAATAACGCGAAGGCCAGGGGGAGTAACCATCACGAACGCGAGCAGGGTCTCGCAAACGCGAAGGCGTGGAAGCCAGTACCCTTCGCGAACGCGACAGTGGCCTCGCGAATGCGATGCACACTGTCGCCCAGTGCATAAAACAGAATCAAGCACGGGTTTAAGTCATTTCTTCAACATTTTTCAAGAACCAAATGGGTAGAGGCGATTTTCAAGAGTCATTTTCTTCCCCAAAGTGTTGGAAATTGATTCTAAACCATTTTCTTTTAATTACCCATTACATTTCTTGAATTATCAACCTAAAATCTAGAGTTTTCATGGTAGAATAGGGGTTAGGGTAGAAAACTAGGGATTTCCGAAATTTGGGAATTTAGACCTCAATTTGAGGTCGGATTACAAAACTAATTAACTATTCAGGCTCGGGGTTGAATGGGTAAATGGATTTTGGTCCGAACCTCGGGTTTTGACCAAGTGGGCCCGGGGTCGATTTTTTGACTTTTTGCAGGAAAGTTTGGGAAAGTTAATTTATGCAATATAATTGATTTCTTTAGTAATATTTGATATTATTGAGTCATTTTTGAATAGATACGAGTGGTTTGGAGGTGAATTCCAAAGGAAAAGCTGTGATTGAGAATTAAGTGGCCTTCGGAGCGAAGTAAGTGTTGTGTCTAACCCTGACTAGAGGGAATTAGGAACCTTAGATTATTCGCTAAGTGAAATTAATGTGAGCGGTGTATATGTGAGGTGACGAGTACTTATGCGCCGCCAATTTACCTATTTTTTTTCATGTTTCTTCCGTTTTCTTATATTGTCTCTTCCTATACCTAATTGCTACATGTTTATACTAGTGTTGTTAAATTGATCATCATTATCATGTTTAAGGATTTTCTGTGGGTAATCGAGTATTTATTTAAAAGTTGAGATTTATATTGTGGAACCAAAGGTTGAAGTAAGGTTTGTACTTGTTATTCTATCTCCATGTTGTTATTTATGCATTGCATTATGGTAAGGGAGAGTGTTAATGCACGAAGGGTGATGCCGTTCCATGTTATGAGAGTTAATGCACGAAGGGTAATGCCGTGCCATATTGTGAGTGTTAATGAACGAAGGGTGATACCGTGCCATATTGTGAGTGTTAATGAACGAAGGGTGATACCGTGCCATATTGTGAGTATAAAAGTACGAAGGGTGATGCCGTGCCATATTTGGAGTGTAAAAGCACGAAGGGTGATAACGTGCCATGATATGAGAGTTAATGCACAAAGTGTGATATGATGCCGTGCAGTTTTCCTTACTGTATTCACTATTCCTGTTGATTCATGGTATATTGACTGCTCCGGTGATCATGCTATTGTAGTTCTTTATCTTGTATTCCCCTCGGCATGTTCCCCTCCCGACATTTCCTGCTTAGTTCTTCATTTATGTTATTTGTATATACGTTGTTAAATTTTACAGGTTGATTTGTAGGTGCCTTGTCTTAGCCTCGTCACTACTTCGTCGATATTAGGCTCGACATTTACCATTACATGGGGTCAGTTGTACTCATACTGCACTCTGCACTTTCTATGCAGATTTTGATACCGGCTCGGGTTGATCGAGATTTTGCTATTGGTCCGCTGTCCGGAGACTCAAGGTAGATCTGTCAGCGTTCACTAACCTTGAAGTCCCCGTCTATATTTTCTGTTCTACTGTTTCTTTCATTCAGACAGTTGTATTTCTTTCAGACTATTACTTGTAGTAAATTCTAGAATGCTCATGAATTGTGACTCCAGATCCGGGTGGTAGTAATTTATACAGTTTTATGATATTCCGCACTTATTATATTTCATGTTAGTTAATAAGGAATTGGTTTAATAATTTTCTAACGTTGGCTTGCCTAGCAAGTGAAATGTTAGGCACAATCATGGTCCCGTCAGTGGGAAATTTTGGGTCGTGATAAGTTGGTATCAGAGCACTAGGTTTCCTAGGTCTCACGATTCACGAGCAAGCTTAGTAGAGTCTGGAGGATCCGTATAGAGATTTCTGTGATTATCTTCCAGAGGCTATGAAGTTTAGGAAGAAGTTTCACTTTCATTCTTCTCTGTCGTGCGATTTTTCTTTCTCAAATACTGATTGAACTCTTCTACTGTTATTCTCTCATAGATGGCGAGAACATGTACCACTTCCTCAGTTGAGCAGCAGCCAGAGCCTCCAGTGACAGCTCCTACACGGAGCAGAGGTCGAGGCCGAGGCCGTGCCATAGGCCGAGGTAGGGACAGGTCTCAGCCTAGAGCCCGAGCAACAGCCCCAGCAGTGGAGCCTCAGATAGAGCTTGACGAGAAGGTTCCAGCCTAGACAGTTCCTGCTGGACCAGCTTAGGTTCCGGAGGGGTTCATTGCCACCCTAGTACGTCAGGACGCGTTGGTCCATTTGGTGGGCCTTATGAAGAGTGTGGCCAAGACTGGCGCATTTCCCATGGCACCAGTAGTCTCTCAGGCCGGAGAAGGAGCCCAGACTCCCACCACTCCCACTCTGGAGCATATAGCTCCCCAGTATCAGGCTCCACCAGCTCAGCCATTCGGATTAGTTCAGCCAGTTATTGCAGCACAGGTCGAAGATGGGCCAACTATGTCTTTGGAGGCTTTATGGAGATTGGACAAGTTTACCAAGATCTTTCCTTTTCACTTCAGTGGTTCTCCTTCAGAGGACCCCCAGGAATATCTTGACAGCTGTCATGAGGTCCTACAAAACATGGGTATAGAGGAGACCAATGGGGACAATTTTGCTGCATTTCAGATGACTGGTTCCGCCAAGAAATGGTGGAGAGATTACTTGTTGACCAGACCAGCTAGGTCGCCTGCTCTTACTTGGGACCAGTTCTCCCAGCTCTTCATAGAGAAGTTTTTGCCTATCACATTGAGAGAGGAGCGTCACCGTCAGTTTGAGCGTCTCCAGTAGGGCAGTATGAATGTTACCCAGTATGAGACCCGTTTTGGGGATTTGGCCCGTCATGCTATTCTTCTGCTTCCCACCGAGAGAGAGAGGGGGTGAGGAGTTTTATTGATAGACTTGCTCAGCCTATTAGATTGCAGATGGCTAAGGAGACTGGGAGTGAGATTTCTTTTCAGGCGGCTGCTAATGTCGCCAGACGAGTCGAAATGGTTCTTTCTTAGGGAGGTCAGGGGTCTGAAAAGAGACCTCGTTATTCTGGTGAGTTAAGTGGTGCCTCATCTAGAGGCAGGGGTACTTTTGGTAGAGGCCATCATCCCAGGCCATTTCATTCAGTGCTCCAGGCATCCCACGGTGCCTCAGGTGGTCGTGGCCCTCAGATGCATTATTCCGAAAAGCTAGCCTACACTGCACCACCAGCTCCTATTAGTGCACCTCCACTGCAGAGCTATCAGGGTGGTTATTCAGATTGACAAGGTCAGTTTTAGGGTCAGCAGTCACGGTAGCCGAGATTATGTTATACTTGTGGTGATCCGAGGTACATTTCTAGATTTTGCACTCGGGTAGCTCACAACATCAGAGTTCTCATGCCATGGTTCTGGCACCAGTTGCTGCACCACCTGCTCAGCCAGCCAGAGGCAGGGGTCAGTATGATGACCCAAAAGGTCATCTTTTATTTTAGAACTCGAATCTGCGCTCTTAAGCCTTAAAAATCTCATTTTTACTCTCCTCGATTTGCATGCATAGTCCGGGCATGTTTTCGGAAAGTTTTTATGTTGAAAATTGATGAAAATAAGAATTTATACCTAAAAAGATGATTTTAGTTGACTTCGGTCAACATGTTTGGTAAACAGGCCCGAATCCGTGGTTTGACGATCCCGGTGGGTCCGTATCAAATTATG